AATTTGATTTATACTTCCTAAAACGCTCACAGATAATCAGATAAAAGGTACTAAAATTAACATCAGGAAGCAGATAGCAATATTGAGGTATAATATAAGAACATAAAAAAATATTTATCTAAAATTACCATTAAATATTTCTTTCAATTGTAACGTGGTTTTGATTGATTCAGCAAATATTTACACAATTTTGTCAGACAAAGTGATCTTTGACATTTCTCAAAGTCCTAATCTTGTGAAGTGGTTCAAAAACCTTTCTAGAGGGCTTTACGCAAAGAAAAATAAAGGCAACGCCATTAATAAGAGCCTGTAAGAACTGAAGATGTTTTTCTCCATAAAGTTAGCATAATCTTTTTATGTTTTTCCTTATCTAATCTTATTAACATAAATACTTTTGTATTCAGTAAATTCAAACTTGCTTTTATGACAATTTTGTATTATTAAAATAGTATTCATATTGTATAAAACATCACTTGAAGTAACATTATTAAAATTAAAGAAAAATGAAGTTACAAAAAGGCGATCTCATGTTACAAATATACTATTAAGTATACATATATATGAGAGCGCCTTTAGGTGTTATGTGTACCTTTAATATGTACATGGAATTCAATAAGTAAATACATATTATTTATCCAAATTTAAAATAAATATATTCATGTCCATAATTATCAATCTGATTATTTGATTCATCGTAATCAGTTTATCAAAGCAAATCAATTTATTGCTACATTTGATAATATAAGAATAATAATAATAGTAATATCAAATGTAGCAATAATTTAATTTACGTCAAACAATCAGAATACAACGTAGCAAGAGTACGTTTACCACCGTTACTCGTATTAATTCGACTTATTAGCGATATATTCTAAAGTAGTGAAAGTATTGAAAAGTAACTTGGAAGTTGAAATTAACACTGTGTGGATTCGGCATATAATAGGTCACTTCTTCCTTTCCCGCGGGTGTCGTAAGAGGTGATTAAGGGAAAGCTAAAGACGGGCAGTAGCGTCCTTCTTAAAAAATCTCCAAAGCCTAACTGCGGTTGTTAATTCGCCTGTCAAGCTTTTGGAAAACTCCCCAAAGGGGGAGGCTTATGTTCAGCAGTGGACGGTTAAAAGCTGATATGATGATGACTCCATTCGAACTTACGACCTCGCAGAGGCCTATAAACTGGACTAGTATAACTCTGAGTAAAAGCTTCCTTTCATTTTATTATAATTAATATAAAATGATAATGAAATAATTAATATAGAAATTACCCAAAAACATTTAGTCTTTAATCTTTAACACACGCCCAAATACATTACTACAGTAATGTATGAATGAATACTATTGGATTTGTAATTAGAAATTGTATTGTGAACAAATTTTCCAAATGAATTAACCATTCCACAGCATAGATTACGGTACCGATCGGAAATCGACTGAAGCTCTCTAAATTATATGGACCGAGGGAGCGATCGTACTAGAGCGGCCAAGGATCTCTATAAATACGTACCTCGTATATAATCTATCAATATGAGCATATACGATGGAAATATTGGATTTTGCAATACGTTGCGTATTTCCATATTAGTTAGCCTATGCAAACTTATCTACTTTTTAATACAACTATTTTTGTTTGCCATTCTAAGTTGTAAAAAAAAAACAACCAAAGCAAAGAATGATGATTTTGATGAATATGTAGGGTATAATAAAGCTAATTATGTCTTTTATTATGTGAATACAATATATGATACCTTCACTAATATTCAACTAATTTAATCATTCTTTTCAGCTCACATTCGTAGTTGTTTCCATATTTTATTAAAATTAAAGTTGATATTTACATGACTACACTTTGAGTGCTTTATATATTATAAAATAAAACATGCATGTATATAACATGTATAGTATATAATAATAAAGATTTCTTTATATGGCTTTCAGAATTATATTATGTCCCTTTTTCGGCTATAGTCAAGGTATAGGCACCTTACTTACCTTCTTATACCTTACCTACGGCTTCACCTCCGTAGCTAAAGACTTTAAAATTCTTTTTAAAGATTTTGTACCACTAAAGAATAAAAAAAATTGTATGGTATCCTAATAATGCATAATCCTTTAAAGGTTATTAAAACCATCAAAAGAACAAATTTACTTTAAGAAAAAAAAGTAAAATTTTTATCTCATAATATAATTTAAACTTGATTTATTTATTTACCGAACAAGCCGTTTAATATACTGGTACTTTGTTTTATTGTTCTTATCTAAAATTAAAAATTCGAAATAATCAATCAATTAATACTGTCGGAGTTACAATCTGTATTTATGAAAAAAAAAAAAATTGTAAGCGTACAGATTAAATTATTACATTTTGATAAATATTTAACATGAAAACAGAATCAAACAATGCCGGAAATTGCAATTCTGTTTATACCGAGTCATCAAAGTAGGCAGCTACCTATAAACGTATTTCACGAAGTCTACCCAAAGTAAACAAGTTTTGTACCTATTCGCGTCAGAGTTATAGCCGTATTGTGTTCGAATTAATATCTCATGGTTGACTTACTGCCTGCAAACGAAGTAGATATTGAAGCAAAAACAAATAATTGTATTGTCTTTTACAACCATTTCGTTTACCCAATTACTGGGGTACTGCGTAAACTACTTTCTTATTTTATCGCATTTATATTACGAATAACATAAACTAAGTACTTAAATTATATAAACAAAAATATATATTTTTTATAAAGGTACAAAACTTATTATAAACATTCTATATGTTCTTATACATATTGTATAAAATATACAATGTATGTTCGATAGAAACGCGATGAACAATATTGCAATCTTGTTATTGTCTATAGATGATGTCAATAGTTCACTATCAATATATGGCTAGGAAAAAACATGTGATGAAAACTAGTATCTACCTTCAACTTATTTTAGTTTTCACTGTTAGATAAAGATGTCATCCACCTATCTAAAATATCTGAATATCTCTGCTCATTCATATTTCTACCGCAATTGTTAGGTACTGAAGCCTTGTTATTTGAAATGATACAGAAATGAGGGCTACCATGACTGTCATAGTATATTCTATGAGGTCCATGATACCGTTTATGCCTATCTACGACAGTTATTTCTTTTCATCAGTTGAGATGTCAGTTCTTTTGCCATTAAATTACAAATAAAAAATATATGCTTTAAATGTTTTCTAATTGTTAAATCAAATTTATATTTCTTTTTATAAAAATGTCCTTTACTTCAACTGTGATGAGAGGAAAAAAGAAACTATTTGTTTTACCTAACAAACCGTACTCCAAAGAATCAGAGAAACAAATCGAATAATTGCTGTGAACACGGAGCAAGACAGTGAAGCAATACGATGTCGCTATCTCCAAGGAGTCATTGTACGAAATGAAACGATTTTGTCGCTCGATTGAGTTCTCTCAATGCATTAGTTCAGTTCCTCACTACGGCTACGCTCAGGCTAATGCCCCGAAGGTTTCTACTAGTACTTTTGTGATGAATTTGTAACAAAGACTAAAACGTTATTTCAACCTGCGCTACTGATAGGGTACTACTTTCATACAAAAAACATATATTTTTATTTTTAAATGACTTTAAAAAAAATCCTATTTCGTTTACAATTTTTTATTGCATGATATTATTTTTAGTTTATTTACTTATAATTCAATATTATTACCTAATAATTAAAGTTATAGTTTTCTTTGTGGAGTAAAAAGTTACTTTTTATCAGATAATTTATGCCATAGCTCAGTGAAACTATCTAGTGCTTAAAAAATATAATGTTAATTTTTTCGTAATATTAAAAGTTTATTTCCTGCTATACTTTTATTTTAAGAACAAAATATTTTTCTTCCATTTTTCAGTATCTACGACAGTGTAATAAACCCTTTCTTCGCAGAAAATAAACAATGTTATTTCCAATGAAATCTGCCGTGTTATCTTCCGTCGATTTTGATATAAAAAGAATATTTCGTCATTCAATAATTCATCTGTTCATCGAAACAGAAACAAGGTTGTAGATGTGTGTATTTGAAAACGGCTCATCGAGATGTAATTGCGGAATTCTCCCAATAAAGAAAGTAAAAAGTGTTCATTGGTGCGTATGTTTTCGGGTGGACTGAGCCCGATCGACTAAATTCCAAAAAATGCTTGCTTTTCAAACGGCCGGGTTGACTGGATAAAGCATATATAGATAGAAATAGCTGTATGCGATCAAAACACGTTTATTGTATCACAGAGTATAAAAATTACCTACAATATGGTAATAAAAAAAACCATTAACAGAAGCTCGGGAATTGAAATTCATAATCGAATCCAATAAATGCTTAGTAAATACGAGTACGAGAGTCGTATTATATTTACTTGTATACTATACTATATGTATACTATACACATGAGATAAAACATAAAATATTTTTTGCGTAATGAACGCATTAATTAAATAATAGGTAATTTTTTTTTCTTATTATGCAGGTACACTACGAGTAGATACATAAAACGTGACTTAATATAAAGTAGACAAAATATCTAAACTAGTATTTTTTGCATTTTTAGTATTACATGGAATATTATAGTGTTTTGGTGTTTAAAACTTTATCGTATATTATTACTTTCAACGTTTGATGTAAGTGTTAAATTTACAATGCCTTTAAATAATAGCATATTTCCAAAAGAAACAGGGGTCGGCTTGTGCAAAATGGCGAGATGTTATAAAGGCCCATAAGTTACATCTGGATGGGAAAGGTGTAGGTCAATCTATGAAAAAGGGCAATTCAAAATTATTTTCTCTATTTATAGATGGAGAATTATTCTAAAAGATTGTTTTATAAAAGGTACTAAACTGTGCCTAGGTTTAAGGCCGGAGTTCATAAATAAAACAATATTTTCAAGTACTTTCGTAGCACATATTTGATTTTGTATAATCTTACTAAATATGGATGAATTATACAAACTAGACAATATACATAATCTAAAATACTTACCCAAATGAGCAGAAAAATACACTAGCGCCGCAAACCACATCACGAATGTTTTTTTTTTTCACATAATTGGTATAAACGAAATTTTTATGTCACTTATATATATAAACACTGATTAGTCAAATGATTGTTCAGTACATTATTCACACACTGTTATGCTTTTTAATAACTTATATAATTGATTCATTAAAATAGATTAAACCATAGTGTCTTCAAACCTGGGCACTGGTTTTTTAGTTAATAAAATAGCACTAAATATTTTTTTATTATAAAAATAAGTTTATTTTTATAATAAAAATGTGAATTATTATTTAAATCTTGTTAATTAATAATTAATATTATTAGAAAAACACTTGTACTCTTACACAATCAAATTGTTATAATAAATACTTGACCAGATTCGCCATTCAAGTTCATTTTCGAAGATTAATTCAATAATCTTGTTTTCTCCGTACAATTTTAATGAGTATGAGTACAAGTGTTTCTGTGACTATTAACATAAATAAAATAATAATGATCGTAACATAATTTAATGTTTGTTTTATATTTAAAACACATGTATGAATACAAATATTAGAAAAGAAAATAGAAGAACCTTCTGAATTTTTAGATTACTTTGTGAGAAATCTACAAAAGTTTATTTTTTATTGTTTCAAAAATATTATTAATGTTATTAATGACGTCCATATGAATTAGATACAAAAGTAATTAATAAAAAAAATCCGATGCTCTGTTATAGAAACTTCTGGTTGTTCATCGATAACAAGTTACTTGTTATCGACGTTAAAAGTTATCTTTATGTCAATCATTCTTGACCAAGTTGCAAACAGTGGTTCCCTTATAACTATCTAACTATATATATATACCATGCTATATAATTCTTTATCTTAAAGCCCTTGCGGGGTTGGTAGAGCTCTCAAATATAAATTATACAAACTCTTTAAATCTATAATCTATATTATTTAGGGAGAATATATGGATTATATTATAAATAGGAATATTTCTCATAGAAAAAGCAAAGCAAATACAAGCATTAACAAAAACATTAAAAAAATAAAGACTAATAGCAATAAATCAGTAAAAGGGTATAATTTTCTAATTATAGTTTGTGACAGAACAAAATTATATTTTCTAAGTTATATAGTATGTTTTGTTAATGGCAGCAATTATTAGTATTTAGACTAAAATGAATATGTAGGTTAATTCTGTGGATTCGAGGTTATAACTGAAGTTTCGAGTTTCGTGAGCTCGATTCCTTGTTATATCAGTTTTATAAATCATGTGTTATATAAATATTTCTAAATTAATACAAATTTCACAATAGTGCTCAAAAAAAATTTTTTTTGAGGGCTTTAACATTGAAATGTGCACTTACTGTTCTTGACAAAAAAGTCAAATATAGATAAGTCCACTCTTTGTTGCCTTTTTACCTTGCTTTTTGTTAATTATGAGTTTTATTTGTGCGCCTATTTTTATGTAACTATATTTTTCTTTGAGAGGAACTTTTAACCCATATTATACAGATCATGACTTAATAATCTTATATTTCGTACTAAATAACAGTAAGATATTTATATATATATGTATTACATAATTACAATAATTGTCGAATGTTATATTCGTGTATTATAAACTCCAATAACTAATAAATATAATTGAACTTGCTCGTACCAAAACAAATAAAAATATATAGGATTTTCTATTTAATTGGTACACGCTAGTCGAAATCCTATCAGTCGAAATGTATATACAATCTACTTCACAATCTCTATCAATAAAATATTTGATTCAGAATAATGAATACAGTGAATTGCTTTGTATTTTTTTAATAAAAAATTGTTTGGTGACCTCACTTGTTATTCTTCTTTTTCTATGGATTTTAAATAACATTGTATTATATAATTTTTGAAATCATATAGTACACATATTATATTTGTAATATACGTGACAAAAATATATATCTAGTTAATTGTTGCGTTAAATGGATGCCTTAAATTATAAATATTTTGCTACTAGACGCCAAATATGATCATGCTATTAAGAATTATGCTTAAAATTTGTACTGTACTGTAAATATGCTTATTTATTGTTGTTAATTTTTTTTTCTAATTCTAAAGATATAATTTGCAAGTAGTGTAAATCATTGTATCATATATACCTAACAGTATAACGACGAATTCTAAATATCTTACTTTATGAAGAAGAGATTCAAAGCATTCAGTCTTTAAGACTGCTTGAAATTCTAATAACAGGTTTGAAAATTATTTACATATTCAGTATCATATATCCTAAATGGAAGCTAAAGGAGATAAACAGTGACATGGTAGGTTCAAAAGGCGTCAGAGTATTCGCTGAAGCTTGCAATCCCTTTGATCAGCGACGTTGTGTTTTAGCTCCCACGTTTGTGCAATCATCGACATGGAGGAAATCTGTATTTTGAACTCCACTGAGGTCAAATTCAAAATTCCATATATCATAAAACTTTACCTATCATGATACGGAAAATATTGGAAAAGTTCCTTGTGTATCGAACTTGATAAGTAGCTATGTATATTTTGGAGGAATATTTACAGAAGGCAAGATCTTTGTAGACTACTAAATATATAAGAAAATTATGTCTTCGTGTACATGGAACTCAATATCATATGTTTCTATAGGTATTTATAATTTTTTTTTTAATAAATGTTGTAGTCATAAAGAACCCTTTTAGGTAAAATTTAGTTCTTATACCCAGCAGTGTTTGTATTGTTTTAATCTATCAGGTTATTAATCTTTAGAATATGGTAGGATGGATGGCTGAAAATAAAAAAGAATATACTACTATCCTAACAATAAAATATGTAGGCATTCTATATAAACAAAAGTTATATTAAAAATAGGCAATAAATTCTTATCATAAAAAAATGTAAATGGGAATATATTTCGCTTATAAAAGTCGTAGCTTAAGTAATATGACTCGGTTACATCTCTTCTGAGCTGGCACAATAAAAAGCCGACTACTAAAATCGAGAAAATCTGGTAGAATATCTATATCATTTAGGGTTTCATAGGAAGAAGTTAAGAATTGTGTTTTAATTATAAATAAAAAATACATAGGCGAATATAACATTATAGTTCGTTTGTTACATTTTCATAGTTATACAATTATAATTCAAAAATGATGAAATTTTTTAACTGTATCCATATAAATATTAGCCCGACTATGGATGTACGAGTATGTGATATATTAAAAAAAACCACACTTTGTTATTTATTATTACACATCCCATCATCTATAATATAAATATTAATACGAGAATATTTTTCTTGAATTTTCAAATTGTATGTACATGCCTTTTTAAAAACTTTTACGACTTATTTAGTTAGTTTAGTTTTTTGTAGTAATTTATTATTACAAAATTCAAAGTTAGAGAAAACATGTTTATATTATATAGTTTATATTAATACTAAATACATTGAGATTATTTCAATATGTATTAATATTATGCAAGAAGTATTATATTATCAGTTACTATTTTCAGTAGCAGTACTATTATTATTTATATGTACGCACTGCTACAACGTATTACTGGTCGTGGTAATAATAACAAAGATCACGATATCTATATTTTTCCCCTTTAAATATACTTCACATGAAATACAGAACCCTTCCGCGAATTCACTCACAATTGATAGATTTATGTGAAATAGTCGTCGGTCGCCTATCGGCGGGGCGGCAGTAAAATTTTTACGCTTCGGAAAAACCGTTTGTGCAATCAGGGAGGATTGTGCTCGAAATCTAAGCTAAGCCGCGTTAAGCATCGTAGGCACCGGGAAAACATTTCGCTCCAACTGAATCGTATTACTGATTTTTAAAAAGGTTTCGCGGATTAAAAGTAAAAATATCCACTTGATACCATGTGCACATATTGAATGGATTTTTTAATAAAAACAAAATATTGCTTGGATATAAACAAAATATTGATTACAAATAAAAACTTTCTTTGTAAAGATATATTTGTAAAACAATATAATCAGTAACTATAGTGGTGTTGTTAACGTACTGGTATTATGTTAAAATGAGGGGGAGGATAAAGAAACCTATGTAAAGTTAGATATCAGAAATAGGTATTTGTAATTGAGGTTCAATTTACACGAAAACTAAACATACCTATCACTCCTGAATTATAAAATATAAACTAGAAAATAAAAAAAAATCATAGCAAATCCTCAAATCATTTCTCCAAAAATGCATGATATCCGTACATTATTATAATAATTTGTAATAAAAATTATTATTGTCCCCTAAGGTTGACTGGGAGAGTATTTTTTTTACCATGTCAATTTTCCATTTTGCATTTAATCCACTTTTTCCAAAACACAAAAACTTATTTTTTTTTTACATTTACTTTATTCTGAAACTAACATGAAGAATATTTCAATTTAATTGTATTTTTTTTTATACAGACGACATCTTTGTTTATACTGAATTGATTTTGTTGATTTTTTATAATCGACAATATTGTTCTCAATTGTTTTTAATTTTTTTTTTAATGAAAGAAAATCTGTATTATTATTATTAACTGATACGGTAGCTTTAAATATGTGCGTTATTTTTTTATTAACAATATACTTTTTAATGCTGCCCCAGAGTCCTCTACATTGGCGCTCAGTTCCGTTCGATTATAAATAAAAAAGACGGTCCCTTCCGGCGCAGTAACTTAGAAAATGGCCGATACAGCTCGTTTGCTTCGGTGACATTATTTTCCATTTATTTTGGAAATACACGCATTTTCAATACTTATGTATGGGAGTATTTTGGAAAACGCACAGAAAATAAAATGAAAAGAAGAATATATTTAAAATGTTGTATAACGTGTTTGTAATAACCAATTAATGTTTTAAGTTATATATTGCACAGCAAAAATTTAGAAATTTGTATCGGCAACGAGAATTATAATAAAAATAGATTAAATTGTAAAATGAAAAGACTACGATAAAGAATATAAAATTGAAAATAATAGAATAATAATCCTGACAGATGATATTTTATGTTCTCGGTATACTGGAATTTTGTAAATTACTGCACCTTCTCTTTCTATTTAATATTTATTGAAACATATATATTATACCAGGAATAAAAAATAAACTTGTTAGAAAAACTCATTAATAAATTAGCAGGCACGACTAAGGGGGATAACTTATCGGATAAGAATTTAATTCTGCGCTGGCCAGAGTTCACCAGAGAATGTCTTGATGGCGTAAGTCATGACCAGCATTGATCAGTAGCTCTACTCTCATATAAATATCGTTCAAACATCTTTAAAGTTGAGAAGTTTTTCCATGGAGGTCTTATCCAAAGTTGTATTCTCGTATTACTTGTCAATTGACTTTCCGACCGAGGAATAAAACATTATTTCTACGTTTATATTTTAAATCAAATTAATACATAATAAGTCTGTTTATAAAAAAAGATTAAAAACAAGTTATTAAAGCGTTTAGGCTTCATCATCAGACTTTAGGTACTAGATTAGTTTAATCAGTTTAATCAATCAACAAAAGAACAACAAATTGTAACAAACTATTGTAAACAACGAATTTATAACGCGTAGTTTACAAATTATATACTCTACAAATCTTCTTCATCTATCTGCACTTATCATCAGAGCAGATCAGTGGTACTATAATTTTGTTTTGTCACAGAATTTACATAATTATGTTAACATTTAAAATATATATCGTAAATTTTGTAAGATGATAAATGCCAAGTTCATTAAACTAGTTCGGTAAAATTCGGTTTCAATCGTCAATTAAATAGGTATGTAATTTAATATATTATATCAGTTTGTCGCATTGGTTCATAAATAATCATTAAACTCTCGAAGCTACTATATTGCACGAGCCGTGGTTACGAGCAAAGACTTTGTCGGACAAAGTTCAAGTCGCTATATGGGTGAAGTCCGGGCTAGTAATAAAAAGCGGTATATGCATCTATATTTACCCACATTGTACATATTAGTGCATGACATAGTGACTAACAGTATGCACTCTCTTATATGAAGTAACTATAAACTTCCTTTGTAAGTATTTACTTTGTAGTTGCTGCTAGCATATTTTGATCAACTTCTAAAAAGTAAACTTAATATTTTTTTTTGGAACTTGAAACGATTAATTAAGGGCTCACACAAAGAAAAGTGTCACCGTATTATATAGCTAATACTTATTTGAACTTTGGAGATTTACCTTGAATCTATTGTCTTTTTTTTAAATAACCTATGTTATCTCATTATTATCGATTTTTATTGTAGTGTTTTGTGGTTATTTGTGTAATGGCGCTGATATATCTATAGATAAAACTTTTAGTTTCTCAAAATACGAAAGATTACTGTTCTATGAACAACATTGTGTGACACTATGGATTAAACTAAATGATAAATAAATAACAAAGTTTATTGATAAATAATATAATGTGCGTTCAAAGATGAACCTTCATGGAAATTGATAGACTTAAATAAAAGAAAATTTAAATAAGTGAATAATAACAAAATAATATTACGTCAACAGATAGTATTTAAAAATTCAAAATTAATATAATTAATAGACAACACTATAAAGGAAAGAACCGGCATAGTTGTAAATAACTGTACTGATATATAAGCACGTGAGAAAATTGAATATACCTAAATGATAATAATTATGACACTCATTTATAAATAATATATGTATTCACTGCAATTTTCTATTGTATATTCGACGTTAAAATTGCCTAATAGATGAAGTCAACAGAAATCTTACATAGCGACTGACATACTGCACTAAAGGATTTCAGCAAAAACATAGATGAAATTAATATTAAATTTTTAATATTTAGTAAAATGGTTTTATTTATTTATTTTTAACTTTTATCAATTTACAATTAATATTTAAAATAGTAAAATATTATATGTAATTTTCCATTAGCTAGACTTGCTACTTCGTATATGTAGATTTCAGAAGAAAATCAATAAATTAGACCAATAGATATTAGATGCGTTTCAAGATAACACGTATATCAGATTTTAAGTTAGACTTTTAGTAATATAACTGTGAAAACCGCATTAAATTTGGTGTATAAATGTTCTTGTGTGGTGTTAGAACAAATATCAGACAGATAGGGCTCTTCTCAACAAATAACAACGTTCCGAACTCTGCAGTAGATTTAAAAAAATGTCGATTTCAAAGTACTTATAAACAAGTCTATTTAAATAAACATTATTTGAAATTGTCAAAACTTCTAAAATTATTATTTTAATATCTATTAGTTTTATTAAGATACCTAAATATATAATTATTTGTCATGTACAGATATCATCTAGTTACATTTTCATTGTATTAGTAAATTAGATACCTGCCTGTTGTAAAATAAATTTATACAGAAATCTTTGATGTAAGATGGTCACGGTTGTTGCGTATACAAGCACTTTGTCTAAAGTCATCACGCTTCAATTAAAGTAGGTAGGTTGAAAACTTTCTTACGCTACGCAGCGTAGATGAATACAAAATCTGGCGAGAATTCTCTACTACAAATTTAAATTGGGCGTAAACATTAACATTATAAAGTACAAAATTGCTTGATAAATCATACTAAAATTATAAAGATTTCCCGTTTATATTTTAGATGATTTAAACAACTTTCCATAAGAAATATGGTTTGAAATTTGAAAACAAATTTTGAATGCTTCATACTGCCGAAATAGATTATAATATTATCGCATTTTTATTTTAAAGATTTATTATTAAAATACTATTTTTTTTAAATGAGTGAAAGTTTTCATTTTCATAAACATTAATTCACATAACATCATATTTTATGTCCTTCTTATTCATGAGTAGGCTAGCGGGGAACGTATGCTATTGGTTGCTAGAAAAATAAATTAGTATAGAAGATGAAAAGTTGATGTGGTTCAATCTGATGTAAAGTGGTGTCTGGTGCCGATAGAAAGATTCTTGCATATGTTTCTGCCAGCCTCCATGTTTTATATCTAGCATAGTGCCACGCCACACAGAAATTACTACAATTTCTGCCTATTTGGCTAGTTATCCCGTATTATGTTAATTTTATGATACCCAAGGGATGCAAATGCACAATTTGGTATCCTTGTTGTTAACTAGTTCGTATTAGATATCATTGAAATATAATATGTCGCTTGTGGTTATAAGACCTTGAAGATTACATTGATTTGAGGGCAATATCCATATTAAAAAAAAATATAATAAGGCTGGCATGTAATTTAAAAAAATATAAAAAATATTATAGGAAAAATATTTTAATTTGCCATAGTGCCTATTTTTATTTTTTCAAAGGAACCTCCTCAGTTTTTTTTTCACATAAGAATAACAACTTCCACTCGATGACCGTAGTCCTTGAATTGTGACAGCTGACGTTTCAAATGACAGGTGCCATTAAAATGACATTGATTGCATTTTTAGCAATTTTAGAGGAATTTTAACAAGAATTTCCACAAAATATTATAAGAAATGTAATTGTGAAACCACTTTCTGGAATATTTCATATTACATTCATATCATATAACCGTATGGTTTGACTTCGTTTGCAGAATCGATTTTTTTTTATTTTTAATGACGGAATTGAATAACTTTCTTCAAAGAAGGTGGCATTATTAAGGAAAATCATTCAGTTTCATTATATTATTATTAAATTCGAAGAGATGTCATTAATTAATGATAATTTGATTCTGGAAATGAGACGAAATTAATTTATTTTTTAGATATATAAATTTTTCTTATATGATAATGTCGTGTCGTGTTGTGTAAAATTATGACGTGTGCACAATCTATAATACTAAATTATGTATAATAATATAAGTAATATAATATAAGCGTTGGCAAATTTTTTTAATCGTGTATTAAAAAAAATCATGCATGCACATTAATATAAACAAAAAACCAAATAAACGCTCAAAATATACGCAAATTATTTTTTTAGTTTAGCCGAGAATAGAACTCAGTACGCGCAAGTTCTCAAATTTGTAATACCCGTATTTATAATAATTATTTATATAAAAATATCATGCAAAAATAACTATAAAAATCATTATAAATATTTAAATTTAAATTAATAGTTTTTGTTCTTTTTACTACATAATATCTCGACTACGAAACTTATTTTTAACCTTACCAATAAAACCGCTTAATAAATTTATTTCATCCAAAATAAAGAAAATAAATCTTAAAACACTATGCCAAACATCACATAAAAAACAATTGAACCAAGTATTAGATCTCAATAAAATGCGCAGGTAAGAAATTAATTTGTTGTGATTTCTGATCACAGTTACAGAATTAGCACGATATGAATTTACCACTTATTTTTTTTTTATTTACTAACACAGGAATGATAGGTAAATTTAAGATTCAATATTAAATCTTGCGTTCGAAACGTGTTTCGAGTTTCGAAATTTGAATCGGCGCATGGCGCAAGCTCGTTCGCGAAGACCACGAGCGTCGAGCGAACTGGACCCCGCCGCTGGCATTTCGTTTTGCGCATGTGCACAAACCTCTTATAATTTGATATCTCACATCACCGCCTGTGACATTCCGCGGTAAAACCTAGTCGTAAATTATTCAATTTTATTTACTTATACGTACGCTTCTGAGGTATCTATATTATTATAAAATTGTTCGATGATTCTTTATCGATATTGAGACTAAAGAATAAAAAGCATTTCAAATACAAATCTTTACGTTTTTTGCTGATACCTACTTATACGTTACACACGTACATATAAATCAACGGGAAACCAGTGGGTAATCTTCATACACCGTTGTTAATTGTGAAAACATTCGTCCAGGATTATTTCGTCAACTGTCTACAGAGAATGTTTATAACTAAATCCTTTGATATCCCAACAGGAAGGTAAAGCGTCTTTGAATGAAATACCAAGCGACAATTTGGCTATAGAGGTTCATCGCAAAGACAAGAATATTTACGTCTTTGCGATTAAAGATTGTAGCTTTATGCTACGGAACATAATATTTACGTTCAGAATGGAATGCAAAGATTCTTAATATCGTGGAACCTTAGATACGTATAGATAAAGTGTCTCCATACAAATACATCACCAAAAATAAATCAATTTGTTTATTTATGTGTGCGTGATTAGGGTTACTATAATGTACATTTATTACTTACTATATGGGAGAAACTTTAAGGTTAATTTTCATAAAAAATGTTTTGAAAGAACAAGATAAAAAGTGTATAATGCTTCATAATAAAGCTTATCTTTACTGATTACTTTCCAAGTATACCTAAATTATGTTTTCATTTTAAAATAATTAAAAATGTCCACTATTTTAATTTATGATAAGCTTTATATTCAGCATAAAATGGACCATCCCTTTCTTTCCCATGGGTGTCGTAAGCCGACTAAGGAAATTTAATAGTCGAGGCATGGGCAGTAGCATGTTCCCTTAAACATCACCAGAGCCTAACTGCCTTTGCCAACTACCCTGCCAAGCGTAGTAACTACTGGCAAAACTCCCAATAGAGGGAAGCTTATGTTCAATAGTAGACAATTGACAGCTAATTTAGTGTGGTATATGGTACATATGGTTTATTTTATAATTTAAATCTTATTGTTATTATTTATTTTATTAATTTCCAAATTATAATGTAAATATTGACTTGCCATTGTGTGACGACAACTGTTACTTTGGTTAATAAAGAAATATGAATATGAATACATAAATATGTATATTTATATAATATCAAAACAAATGATTGCCAGTTAAAATCTAAAATATCTACTTGATCTGGAAGGTTTTTAATCTAATTATAATCCTCACCTCTTACACGAATTCCTCGAGTATATAATAATGAATTTAGTGACGTGGATCTATTCTTTCAATCTAAATAGACATTTAAGAAGCTTGTTGTAAGAACTATGAATCAATGAATCAATAGGTTAATTAGGTAATTAAGTAAAATCTTAGGGTCGGTATGATTGTATTTGCATGGTGTGAATGAATGTGTGTGCTTTAATGTGTCATAATGGTAACAGGAGGTAGTGTATTCATGCAAAATCTGTTGTATTTATGTATAAAATAAATATAGCAGTACTGAATATACTGTAACATACATGCATTGTTAAATGTTTGTATTTGAATGTATTGTGATTGAATGTCTGCATTGTACTTTTCCTTTTTTGCGTAAACCAATTTTGTACTTTTATAATAATAAGAAACCTGTTATTAGCCTTAATATTTTAAATACTAGTATGTAAGTCTTAACTGTAACGCCGTTGGTTTCGAATAAATAAATAAAATAAAATAAAATAAAAATAATTACTTGCAACACTAAAAAATGGCACATTTTATTTATATTTAGAAAAAAACATATCTCAAAATTTAATCAGCCAAAGACCAAATTAGCTAATTATATATTAATCTATTTTTTACAAGCATAAGCGTAAAAATAAATGAAAGTTCGATCGGATCCATGCCCGAATAAACTCTGTGGTTATAGAAATGAGATCCACAATGTGGTACTACGGAATGAGTTTAAAGAAAAAAGAATTTGAGGAGTTCTTTTTTTATGAATAATTGAGTTTACAGGCTGAAGTATTCAGTTGGTCTGTTTTGGACTTGTACAAAGTCTTATCGATATAAGATTTCTTCTGGAAGTACTTACTTAATAGAAAGTCGATTTCTGCTGTCATTAATTTAGTTAGCTGTGGTAAAAAAAATAAATATCATATACTGGATCGTTCAAGTTCGTTAAGGAATGAATGGGCAGCCAAGCAAATTGCAAGTTTTCTGTCACTACTTACCTGACGTGATAAATACGATAATCGTCAGAGATATCGAACACTGTTGAGAGAAAAAACGTAAAGATTACGTGGAAATAAATTTTGTCTCATAGGAGGTGATATAGTTCTGGTGCACTTACGATACGAGTACATTAGGATACCCGGATTTTGCAAAAGTATGCTTTTTTTCTGCAACCGACCCGTCTCTTACCAGCAACTTTTCCAGATGACTTCTGTTCATCTATAAATGTATATGTATAGCTGTGTATAGAGAAAATACGCTAAATATTTTTAAGCCTTTTTCCATTTCTACTTCGATGATGAGGAATGTGGTAACCGTCGCCTATAAACATAAACAGGATAATAGGCGTCACAGAATGCACTGTGATACCCATGTTCCTCCTCGAATGTTTTCATTCCTGAGGACTATGATATTAAATTCATATGTAACTCATAAATAGGTGAGATCAGTTTGAAAGAGGGTCAGAGAATACCTGTACTATTTGGAATAGGAAGGAATACATTATATATATGAGCTTGATGTAATTGCACGATTTCAACTCTTACTTGGCTCGTTTTACTTTCTGTTATACTTCGAATTCCGTATACTTAATTCTTTATTACACTACTTTTAAAGCTTCTTACACTAGCTAACTCAATTTTAGGTCGCTTAAACTTTTAAGATCAGTTTGTTCACTTAGTTGAAGTGCTAAGTTACTTGTGTAGTTGTAAAAGTTACAGGAAGTGGCCATTTAAAATTTAAAGAACACGCATATACGTATAAGATTATATGCGTATTCTCAAACGAGAACATACTGAGGTGGCAAACAAGTATATGGCCCACCTGATGGTAAGTGGTTACCGTAGCCTATGAACACCTGCAATACCAGAGGTATTACGCGTGCGTTGCCGATCCTGAAGAAACCTCTTTACCCCCCTTTTCAAGAACCCCATGCTGTAGTCTCTTGGGAAAACCTCGGCAGGGAGCTCAATCCACAGCCTGAGTGTTCGTGGGAGAAAACATCTCTGAAACCTCGCAGTACGCCACCATTGAGGCTCTAGGACATGAGGATGAACTCCCTGTCGATAGCGAGCCGTACGATGGTAGAAAGTGGCTGTGGGCATCATATTGAACAATTCCTCTGAGTACAATCCATTGTACAGGCGGTAGAACACGCAGAGTGAGGCAAAATCTCTCCTAAGACTTAAGGGTTCGATACCGTTTGTGAGCCTGCAATCATCGACAATTCTAATAGCTCGTCCTTGCCACGAGTCGAAAGGTTCAAGCTATTTAGGTGCTCTGGCCCATAAGTGACAGCAATACTCCATGTGGAGCGGGATTTGCGATTTGTAGAGCATTACTTATAATAGATAAATAATAAAACTACTACTAAAAATAAAATGAAGAATACTACATTTTATCTTTATTTTATTGTTAGTGCAATGTCTGTCAATAAGTCAAGAATTGTGCTAATTTATATTTGTTTGATTTTATGTTACTACTCATCATTATTATCATTTCAGCCATTATCCATCCACTGCTGAATATAGGCCTCCTCCATAGACTGCTATAAAGAATGGTCCTAAACCAACTGCATCCACTGAGTCCCTACAATGCATTTGAGGTCATCACTCCATCTAGTAGGGGTCGTCCTACACTGCGTTTGCCAGTATGGGGTCGCCACTCAAGAACCTTTCTTCTGTTGTATTGCTACTAGCATGTAAAAAAATTCCAAAGTGTATGTATGTATTGGACGGGATGTGTCAAGGTTAATTTAACTTCTCATGTATTAGATTACGTAACATGTAAACTTTAAGAATTATTTTACTTTAAAATATCTATACTTATATATATTCTATAAGCATGATTCCAAATGTTCCTGTAATGTGGTGATGTCAAACTTAGAGCAGATGTTATAATGCTATTAAATACTAGACAGCCAGTTAGTAAGACAGAGATAAACAACTTTTAAAAAATTTCGTTTTAGCCTGAAAACTACGCAGTATTATTGACATATTGTGTGGAAAATTGATCCAACATCCCCAAACCATTGTACTAAGGTATTATGTGTATTATATACTTTATCTATCGCATGATTCTATTTGAGTAGACCGCTTTAATGTATTAGACCGAGGACGGTGCAACGGGATTGTCGCTCAGTAAGCCGACTGCAAATAAAGTCGGAACGCTAGCGATCGGTTTTGGCAGATTGCCGAGCCTCTGGTGTTCTGGGTACTTACTTATTTCATTTCCAATGGATTTGACGGTACTGCGTCAGTAAAGAATTTGCGTAAATAATGAAAATGATACTCAAAATGTATAATTTAATATAAAAAATATTTACAGTTTACGTCTTATACAGAACCTTTTATCTCCCATTTCTGTAGTGATTTTGAGAAAGCTTTTGAATTTTTTTCTTTTATATATAATATATTTATTTATTTAAACTAAACACAGAAAAATTCTATGTATATTTGGCGGACTTAATACCGGACGGTGTTCTCTACTAATCAATCATTGGGCAAATCGAGAAATACATAGGTCGTGCATTATTGAAGATTGAAAAGTAAAGCAATATTTGATATACTCGTATTCATATAATTTATAATATGTTATATAAATTACTTTTACGTTGACACTACTTGTTAAAGTGGGGTCTACTAATATATTGCGGAGAGTTAGTGAATATATCTAC